CCTTTTTTTGGGTTGTTTAGCCATGTAGGCAGTTGTAGCCAATGCTGGAATAGCTATTTTACCTGGTGCACTGTTCGCCATTGCCGCTTGCTCTCCCCTTCTGCTGGCGGAGAACAATTAACTAATGTGAAACAAGAAAACTAAAAAAGAGGGAAACGCCATAACGTTGCTTGGGAGGCAGAGTTTGGTGTCAGTTCTATTGGAGTTAATGGGGCAGGCACAGCAAATCACACTTTAACCAATTATATCTTTGTTGTTTCAACTTTAACTGAAATTAGTAAACTAAAATCCTTGGAGAAAATTTAAACACAAGTGCGTTTGTTGTCCTTGTTATTGGTCTCCAAACAGATTATGAGTGGACCTTGAGTTAAACTTATTTTGTCAAAACACCCAACTTGTAACTATTGTAACTAGTGTTTATTCCATCTGCATATTTATGTTTTTGCCAACACATCACTCACATTATAATCCCTCTCCTTCTCTGTTCTCTCTTTCACATCACATTTATACTATATCTCCTTCTCTCTCTGTCCAGCACACAGAGCTGAAATAACTGCTGGTCCTCTTTATCCTCCTTCTCTCCACTCTCCTTTCTTCTCACACGCGCTCCTCCCTCCTTTCACAAGCCTCCTTCGTTCCCTCTGTGCTGCCTCTCAGCCTCCATCTCCACCCTGAAAATCTCCTCTCTGTATGCCTGTCTCTTTGTCTCTCTCCACCCATCATTCCATCGCACTCTTCTCTTCTCTCCCCATCACTTTCAATCTCCTCCCTCTCCTCTTCCCAGACCAATTTCATGCTCTTTCTCTCTTTCCTCTACCCTCCTCACATGGAGTCAGAGGTGTAAATCTCACACACACACACTCACACACTCCCTGCACTGGACCGTCAGAGCCTCCTACAGCCTCTGCTCTCCAGGTTTCATGACAGGGCTGCTGTGTTATTAGTCAGTCCCTCTCTCTCTCTCTCTCTCTCTCTCTCTCACACACTCACACACACACACACACACACACACACACACAGGCACAGGTACACACACTCCCACACAGATGAGTTGTCAGACGGGCAGAGTGTGTGGCTCACAGAGGGTGGTTTTCCTGTCAGTCAGGACCACATAGTGGAACCGATGCTCAGTGGTACAGAGCGGGCCGAGAGAGGTAGGAACACACGGGGAGAGAAATGGGACGGAAGCCAGTGGACATATGAAGACACAGAGGAAGGTGTGTATTGCTGTGTGTATGTCAGTGCATATGTTTAAGCATTTGTGCATTCGTGTGTTCATGCATTATCCTTACACTTGCATTTTAATTATTAATGACAATTAATTTCATCATTAATCTATTGTTTATATTTCTTGTTCATTGATTGTTTTGTCCATAAAATATCAGACAATAGTGAAAAATGTCCATCATCATTTTCTAGAGCCTTGAACCATGTCTTCATATTGGTTGTCATGTCTCACCACAGTCTGTTCTCATGCACTGTTTGTATGTTTTCCTATGAAAAGTAATGCACCAAAATTCATACCTATCCCATGCAATCTTGAGCCAGTAATTCTTGTATAACCCACGGCAGTAAACAAGGAAGGCTGCAATCACATGACCAGTGTGCCAACAGGAGTAAAGAAGGAAGGAGTCCCATTACTGTGCATTCACACCAAAAGCGTCATGAGCGTCATAAGCGGCTGGCAGCCATTCATTTTCAATGTACGCTTGCTACGAAGGGCGTCAGGGGCGTCGGCTGCAGCGAGCGGCACGATGCCAGCGGCCAGAGCGTCAAGTAGAAGTTGAGAGAAGCTGAACTTTATGCAAATGAGCAGCGCCGCTGCCGAAGCAGCAGCCAATTGCAGACCGGGATTCGGATACGGAGGTCTGGGCTCTCCCGGGGCTATACGAGCCGGTGAAATTCACCGTGGAGTTGCCGGGTTTGCAGGACTCTGTGGACCCAGACGGCCCGACGGCTCCAGGCCCTGTGTTTCCTCAGCGAATACGCCAATGCAGTGCAAAGGGGGCTTCCGAAAGTGTGATTAATGAGCTCCCGCTTATTTACCACCAATTACATTTCTCAGTGGTCCTACGTACCAACAGGAGAGTAAAAATCATAATTATAAAGGACTCATAAAGGCTATATTGACTGTGTTTATTAACGTTATTTTAATTGTGCAATGAAAGTCATGGATAATACAAAGTGAAGACATAAATGATATATTTGTTCATCCTTGTAAAGTGAACAGCCGTGTCAGCCTTGATGGACACATCTGCAGCAGCCGGCCCCGCCCCTTTGGCCGCTGCAAGCGCCTGCTGGAGCTGCTGCCAGGCAGCGCGATGCCAGCGACCTGAGCGACCGCTGGCGCTCATGACGCTTTTGGTGTGAATGCACAGTTAGACTTTCTTTCTGGACTTTCCCAAGGAGAACAGTGTTCAGAAACGTGTGACCTTTGATTTAAAGTACGGTTCAGCAGAAAGCCTGCGTTACAAACTATGCATATGAAGTTTGAGAGATATAAGCATTTATAATGCATGGAGGGAAACTAACAGAAAAACACTGTCAAGTTGCTCAGGCTATCCTCACAAAGTTTTCATATATTTTCCTACGAAAAGCAATGCAACCAAATTCGTATGTATCCAACATATTTTGAAAGACTGCAATCACTTGACCCATGCACTGACGGCAGTAAACAAGGAGGCAGTCCCGAGCACTTGTAAGGAGTCAGGTTGGGGTGGTGGATGGGTCACAAAAAAAAAAAAAAAACGTGTGCGAACTTTGAGGTATTTTGAGGTAAGTCCTTATCATGTTTGTTTTCCTAAACCTGACCATAGTAACTTCACTTGCCTAAATCTAAAGACAACCAACCATGTTTCTTTTCCTAAACCTAACCACAGTAACTTTTATTGCCTAAACCTAATGTCCGTGACTTTACATTGATTACGTAACTGTACATTAAGGAAGTAATGTCATCATATGAACTGTTGTGCATGCAAACCTTTCTATGAGAATACACTAAGTTGCATTATGGGATATGTTGCAAACTGTATTATTTTTATATTGAGCTATACTAGGGACTAAAAGTCATGATATCCTTGCTGCTTAGATTTGATGATGATGTTTTGGTGAACTGTCTCATGTAAGTCTCCAACTTTATGGAGGTACAATATTAAATTGCTTGAGTACAACTTTAATTTTCTGTCCATCAACAAGTCACTAATAAACTAATTAGACAGCACTGATCTCAATTGGCTGACGGGATATAAGTATAATCAGCTCTGCTATATGTAATCTGGAAAACAATTAACTAATGTGAAACAAGAAAACTAAAAAAGAGGGAAACGCCATAACGTTGCTTGGGAGGCAGAGTTTGGTGTCAGTTCTATTGGAGTTAATGGGGCGGGCACAGCAAATCACACTTTAACCAATTATATCTTTGTTGTTTCAACTTTAACTGAAATTAGTAAACTAAAATCCTTAGACAAAATTTAAACACAAGTGCGTTTGTTGTCCTTGTTATTGGTCTCCAAACAGATTATGGCTCTGCTCATCAGCTGCATCTCCAGCCCCTGTTCAGCCCCTGTTTGGTCCAAGTTATCAATGCTACCTGCTTTTAGCAAGAAAAACATTAGTAAGAAATAATCCTGGTAAAGGTGTAAGAGAAACAGACAGGGAGCTGCAGTGTCAATGAGGGATAGCAAATGTAACAGCCTCTCTAGCTAAATCACTGTCATGACTTCTGTGCTGGCTAATAAAATAGGCTAACATTAGGTAACTAACATTAATATGAATACAAATCACTGAGGCACTGCAGCTCACGGCTGAGTCTCCTTACTCATAATGTGATAGACAATATTCACTTAATTATTTTGGAACAAAAATGACCTAACACAATATATTAAAACCTAAAATGACCTCAATCATGAATACTTAAAAAAAAAATAAAAAAATAAAAAAATAAATCAACACAATATGTGATTCATGGCCATTACATGGCATACAAGCAAAACCTGCAGGGGCAGATTCCGTATGGGCCTGGTTTTCAGTGATAGCAGGTCAGACCTGCCCTGTCTGGTGATGTATCATGATGTAACGTTAGCTATCTTAGACCAAACAACAAATGCACAAATTCAGATAAACAACATCGGTCAACATCACATAATGTGTGGTTTTTAATCTGGTATTTTTCAGTCAAAGATGAAACAGCAAAGATATGATGGGTTATAGTGTGATTTGCAGTGCCAGCCCTACTGACTCCAATAGAACTGACACCAAAGTCTGGCTCCAATGCAAAATTCAAATGCTGTCACTGACGTCCTCCTTTCCTTCTTTTATATTTTCCTTGATTTAAAACAAGAAGAATTTTTTTGTCAGCAACATAATCATGATTATGTTTGCAAGTTGCAATTACATTTTCCTCAGTCTGCGGTTCAGAGACAGTATTAGAAGGAGGACATTTCCCTGACTTGGCAGTCGCTACAAGAGAATGACAGCCTATCACCAGATTGCAGCGAACGATAACTCCAAGATGTGCTGATAGATACTGCTGTTGACAAGAACATTTTCATGATAACCAAAGGAAATTGAGTTGTTGCAGCAGGAAATAATGATAGAGCCACAACATGGGGAAAAATTGAAGAGAAAATCAAATGGTATATGAATAAGATTTTTAAAAGTTTCAAAAGCATTTTCAGAATGTTTAGAAAAGATGTATAGTGTGGGAAATGTCTGGGTAACTGTGACAATGCAATACAATAGCAGCAACAGCAACTAGTTGATTGTGTGATTAGAAATATTAGAAAAATTCTGTGTACACACCATGCAAGTATCACACACTACATGTATGCTGGTCTAACACAAGCTATCGGATGGATGGACCAATATAATATAGACATGTCTCTGTTCTTCAGCTTTGATTTAGAGTTGAAGTAAGTTACTAACAGGGTAAAAATGCACAAGGAAGAGATAGAAGAGAAGTGCATAGGTATGTGTGTGTGTGTGTGTGTGTGTGTGTCTACCTCTGCATGCCTCTAGCTGGCCTGTAAGAACTTTACGAATCTCTGACACCCACATATTTTTCACATCCATGGATGGAGCCTGGGGAAGAACGTATGCACACACACACACCACACACACACACACACACACACACGCACACACACACACACACAACATCAACAACCAACATATACAACAAGAGCCTCTTAACACTAATGCTGTTTTTTTGAGATGGAAACTGTTCAGTGGGGGAGCTGTGTAGTACAACACTGCCCCCAAGAGGAGGACTGTGGAAAAGATCCCTGAATGCCTCCCCAGAGGTGTCTATATGATATTTTGAATAATTTTAGAGTGTAAGTATTTTTTCGGTTTTATGAATTTTTTTATGAATAACATCAAAAATATAAAAATATCTGTATTAATTTACATCAGCAGATGTTAAAATTAATATATATTTTTTTATATTTTTTTTCTGCTTTATTTGCATATGTACAATAAATGTTTTCTTTCTGACATGACTGGAGTATTACATTACAAATTTAACTACACAGCAATACAGCATAGGACATGCAATTTTCCAGCTCTTCCATATAGGTTCAGCTTTCTGACAAACTCCTAAGTAAAAGGATAGGATCATTATCAGCAAAGTAGACTTTAACTATCAAAAGTAAAGGTGAGTACCTTTACTTTTCTGCAGTTAAATGTCCCCTCTGACTGATATATTGCTATTAATTAATGTAATAGATTTTCAACCTCCTGAGACTCCAGCTTTGGTTTGGAATGCTTGTTTAATTTCTCCTAGCTATTTGGGATGAAAAGGACCTGATAACTATAACTGAACATTTTCTTAGAGCAGTAAGGCCCTGATCGCAGAAAGTGTTTTGTAATTGTTTTTAATGAGAAGGAAGCTTTTTGCTCACTGTTTTTGTGTTGCTATGTTCCTCGTGATTCTGCACTCTTGGAGCCTGGTATTCATGGTAGAGAGCTCTAAACTGCAGGTCTTCAGTGGTGGCCACAACAACAAGTTTACAGTTGGTAAACAATGGATGAGAAACTGGATTGCTGGATACCCAGAGCTATATGGCCCAATGATAGACTGCAGGTTGTCAAACGTCCCCTGAGTCATCCTAAAACATGCCTGGAAATGGCCATCACCAAGGCTAAGCTCCTGGACCAGCAGGTAGTACTCCCAGTGATCCACACTCTTTTTTAGGGTCTCATGTACCCACACAGATCACTGTTTCTCTGTGCCCAACCATCTATTTACTGACAGCCTCTCACTCTCAACTAGAGCTACAGCAAGTACCCTCTGCCTGTCCATTTTAGAAACCAGCTACTTATTACTGTGAAATAAATAGGTAGGTTAGCTAGTCAAATTGAATAGACTGATTTTACGGGAAGGTTAAGGTAAGAAGGTGATGGGTTGGTATCCTGGCAACAATAAAAAGGTGCAGCACTTGTGGCATTCAATTAAAAAAAAAACAAGGCAGGGCAGTGCACCTCATGTTTTGCAACCTGCAAGGCCCTATGTCCACCAAAGTGTTTTCCCCAGCTGAAAAAGTGAGGTGCTCCTCAGGAAATGCGAAAAGTGTTTTGGAGGCGCAGTATTTTTTAAGATGGGACGCACTGGTTGCATCTGGTTGCTATGATATGGAATATGGACAGAAGTAAACATGTCGTCACAAGGTAGGGTACTTGCTTTCGTTGAGGGGAAGGCAGAAGCATGCAGGGAGAGAGGGCGGCTCCACTGGTCTGTAAGGGTATATAGTATGTTAACAGATTTCTTTTCCATTGTTGTTGTTGCTCAGCTCTTGTGCATGTAACGTGATGGTCTGTCTTCATGGTATTTGTCCCTCCTTCACTGTGATTAAACAGCCAAAGTAACAGTGACGAGCATGGTGTTTTTACTCTGAAAAAAAAAAAAAAAAACAGCCAAACTGCAGTGCTCAGCTCAGCTGTAGATTGGTGGTGCTCCCATTGCAAAACATTATAAGAAAATATGCTGGCCTTAGAAAAAAACATCTTGGTGGACACAGCCCCTTAGTAGTTTTTGAAAAAAATGACATTGTCAAATGGGGACATTTATTGTTAATAGTTACAAGTGTGTAATAATGTATAAAATAGTATTACAAATAATACATTTGTTTAATGTTTTATAACTCTATGGGTTAGGGGTCACTGTTCAAGTCTTAAACTGTTCAAAACTGTTCATTTCACTGCCTGAACATGGCTGGGCAAAGCAAATTTGCAAATAATGTATCATATCTAAGCCTTGGGATTTATTTTGTAACTCTGTATGAATTTTCACTGCTCCATATGCTAAGAAAGTCCTTGTTTTGTCAACAGTGTCTTAGCTTGTTACTACGGCTTAAATTAGTCAAATTTGCATGCAATATCAAACTACAGTATATTAAGCATAAATAAACAAGTTTTAACCATAAAATGTGATCAGATTTTGCACCTTGTCCACTTTTGCATCAGGATCAGCTGTAGACTGACTCGGCAGAGATGTCTGCCAACTCTTTTTTTACATGGATTAGCAAATTGTTGTCTTACTACCACTAGATGGTAGGCTACATAAAGGCATCCATGAATGAGGACAACAGGTCTTAGTTAAGCAGAGTGGAGTATAAAGTGCAGGAAAACCTAAATATAATGTCCTAATATGAAGACACAGGGTCACAGGAGGTTAATACTGATGCATCAATGTGTAAGCAGCATTTTACTGCTGTATCTGGGTTAGGTGACGACTTCAAATCTGTTCAGGGTTGGGAGCCCTCCAAAGGGGTCACTAGATCAGTCTCAGGGGTCGTGTCATGATTTATGGGGTGGTAAAATATTAAAAACAAAGTTCTGATACACAAATCTGTATCCTTTCTTTAACGTTTATCTAATATTTGCTGTTTTTTGTGAAACTCCATCAACATACCTGGATGATGTAAACCTCCTCTCTGCCATTGTACCACACCTCAAACTTCTTGATGTCACCTTTGACATTCTCTGTTATCCCCACAGCACTCATCTGGAAAGAGACAGAAGGAAAGAAACACTGTGAGATGCTGCAAATCTGTGTCATCAGTAATAACTAGTTTAAAAAATAACTCAAGCCAAAATGACCTGACCACTGAGGGTAAACTTGACATGATCAGATAAACCTCTTCAGGCTGTTCTCACAAATTTTTTGTATGTTTTCCTTTTATTTATTTATCTATTTATTTTTTTACTTTATTGTAGCCTGTCTGAGTGTCACAAACAGGTTAGGGAAGTCACTGAGTATTGAATGAAGGATTAACACATTGTTTGCTTTGGTCCTCCTGAGATATTTGTGGACAAAAATAAAAATAAAAAATTACACCAAATGTACATTTTGATGAGGCTCTCCTCTACAAGATAGGGCCACAAGATAAGGTAAAAATGCAGGACCCATCTTACTTGATGGTGTACTTGTACAAGACCTTAAACAAATTTACAATTAATTAAATAATGTATGTAATGTGGATGCTTCCTGAGTGCCTCCAGTTAGAGGTTTTCCCAGCACGTGCAACTGGTCGGAGGCCCCAGGGCAGACCTAGAACATGCTAGGGAGGGACTGTATACCTCATCTGGCCTGAGAACACCTTGGGATAACCCAGGAGGAGCTGGAAAGCATTTCTTAGGAGAGGGACGTCTGGAGCACTGCACAGTGCTCAGCCTGCTGCCACCACGAACCGACCCGGATAAGCGGATGAAAATGGATAAATAATGTACAAATGAACTGACACTAAGTGAACCTAGAGCTGAGGTCTGGGGCATTGAAGGAGGTTCCCACTTTTCTTTCTTGCTAATTCAGCTTTATTATCTATGACTTTTGTGACAATATTCAAGCAAATGTGTAGAATAAGCTTTTACCTGTAAGTGTAAAGCCTTAACAGATTACATATGCAGATATACAGATTTTGGGCTGTTATGGCTCTTCTTGTGGTCAAAAGGGTAGGCAGGTGAATGCACCGCTAGTGACAGCTATGAATGACCTAAACACATCCTAAGATAGAAAATGTTTCATTTGGTCACAAGATACTTTAACAGAATCAGCCAATTCTAATGGCAGGTAAATGCGTGAAAGGAGCTCCGCCAATCATTCAGTAGTTTCATTCCTGCATCATTTTATTACTATTTATGCTCTACTTGGGGTCACAGGATGTAATTCTCAGCAGGAGGTCCTCAGCAGGCGTGAATACAACCCCACCACTGTTTATTACAACACAGACAGAAACACAAGCATGATATACTGAGCTGTTATGCTGAACAAAAAAGAGAAGTGATTGAATTTCTTTCATACTTGACTTCCTTTGCTACTTGCTTTCTGCAGACTTGTTTGGAAGGGAACCTGAGGAGCTGTACAGCATATTTATCAATGACAGCTCCAGGTCCCCAGAGGTTTCTATGGAGAAATGTCAGCAATCCACCGCTGCTAAAGAACAGCATTTGTTTACGTGCCACGAGAAACAGCTTGTACATTTAAAATAGTTCTTAAATGTGGTGTTGTGTTGAACTGCTCTGAGAATCATCCTTTACTTTTGTAAATACTGGTAGGATGTGGCTTTTTTTTTCCAACTAAAGCTTTTCTGGGTGTGGCCACTTGGAGGCAATAAAACAAGCTAATGCCCAACACACTACCTTATGAAGCTGTCAAAGCTAAGATTTATAGTAGTTTTCAGACACAGGGCAACATTATCAGCCATTTGGAGTTGTGTTTGTGAATCCAGTGGGTGGGTAACATTGCTCTGTCATGGCTTAACGTGTAAATAGGCAATTGTTTGCAAACATGTTAGCCATATCAACTTTATAGGTCAATAATAAATAAAGGCTGATGTGAGATTTTACTGCCCCCTAGTGGGTGAGAATTAATTCATGCAGCTTTAAAGTTTTAAAAACTTCAAAATCTGATCTATCAAGATGATATCATGTAACATATGAATTTACATATAATACTACAACAACAAACTAGAAATATGACCTTGTTTTGATTGTATGCCTCTGCCAACCAGTCAAGTTACACTTACAGTTTACATTCATGTCTGTGAAATAATGGATGCTTCACACACATCTCCCTCCTGTCAGCACAGAAGATCTATACAATCAGTAAAGTTTCAAGATTAGTGTCACCAATTCAGTATCTGACAAAATGTATCCCCTTCTGTTCCTGAGATATGACATTGAATAATGGCTAGAAAAGTGTTTTTGCAGAATATTATGATGTCACAGTGAAGTTGTGGATATAAAATGGCATCATTTTATCCTATTAAACACTTTTGTCATGAAATTTTGTCACACTAAGCAAATTCATTTTTGAGTTACGGCCAAAAACAGGTTTTGTGAGGTCACAGTGACCTTTGACATTTGACCACCAAATTCTATTCAGTTGATTATTAAGTCCAAGTGGACGTTTGTGCAAAATCTGAAGAAATTCCCTTAAAGCATTCTTGAGATATCGCTTTCACGAGAATGGTAGGAACGCACGTCTGGAAGTGTGTACATGGACATAAGGACAGGCGGACAAACCACAAACATAATGCCTTTGGCCACAGCTGTACCTGTGCAGTGGCATGAAAAACCTAAAACCTTTTACAATGTCTCCATGAAATTAATGTTTTGATTGCTGGTTAATATAGAATCTACTAAAACCCTGTCTTACATCATTGCCAGAGTTATCTCTACAGTAAGTTTAATAATCTTTCTGTGGCCTGCTGTTATCCCTTGACCACCAGCAGGTTTACTCATCTTGTTAAACAACAGTCATCCAAAGACCGTTTGTCAAATCATCTTCTATTACAACATTAACTATTTCATACACTGTTTGCTCTTTGAAATGTTTGTCTCCATAGAAATAGAATGAATAGAAACTAGACAACATACGTAAGTGGGGCCATAAAGTGTGTCACATTCACACATTTGAGAACTCTGTTTTGGCCTGTTGTTACTTTAAATAAAAGGGACCTGGAAACAAAAAAAAAAAAAACACACAACACCGTCTGTGTCTGACCTTGAGTGAGTGTTTGAAGCTGTAGGATGGGGTCTTCTCGTGTCCATCTGTGGTCTCCTCACGTTTCTTACAAAACAGCATCATCTTGTCATACAGGAACAGGTGCCTTTGCATGGGCTTAAACCTGGCCAGGTCCTTCACCTGAAATCAGGTTATCACCCATTTTATCTGTTTGCCTGTCCATTATTCACTCCAGAGCGCAACCATAACATGTATTAGTGGATCATTGTCAAATAAAGTGTGTTAAACAGCTGAGGTCACAATAGATGATTTGTTCCACAATTGTGGTATTGTTTGCTATTGTGTTTCTCCGAACTAACACTGTGTTTCTCACAAACCCTCATGTCGTAATGTAAAAGTGTAAAGTTACATGATTTGTAGTTAAGGAGCTAAAACCTGCAAAATATCAGTGCAGATCTGTAATGGTATTCTTTTGACAAGTGGTAAAATGGCAGGCATGGCATCCTAATGCTTATATGTAAGAGACCTGATGTCAGGACAGTGATGCTATCTACTGGAGTGTGGGGTTGTACCTTGCTGTGGCCTTTCTTGTGATCAGTCCACACATTAAAGGATCCCTGCATCAGTAGTTTCCCCAGTTCACTCAGGTTACCCTGTGACATCAACACACAGACAGTCAGACTGTTATAGCACCATTCAACACAGTCATAGCATTTTGCAGTAGCATGTGTAGTATGTACACAGTCCCGCTCCAGTTCTGCTGCTACAGTAGATCTGTATAGTTAAGGGGGAATAAAGGGGAATAAAGGAAAAAACAATAATCTTTGAAAGAAGATATATTTTGTACGTAGAGTATAATAATTCTACCTGTGAAAAGTTGTTTGACTACCGCAGTTATATTTTACAAGCTGGAATGCACATTAACCCACCTTTGGGTTTATTTCAACATTCACCTCTACCATAGCTTGTACCTTGCAAGCACCCCAAATTCATAACCATACAAATTACACATGTATGGAAAAAGTTCCCACACAAAACAAACCATGTGCAGTGTCCAAATTAGTTTTGGATTAGGACAAGTGTCAGTAGTGGTTTGTTTCCAAAATTATATCTGTTGACTACTGATCGCATACTATGTGTATTTGTATAACCATGTGGATCCATGCTGTGATATACGTCACTATTTCCTATGGGGTGGAAATCACCAGAGGATCCACAGTGTGATATTATCATGATACAATATTATTGCAATTTTAAATGTTGCAATATGCTGATTATTGTGATAAAATATGTTGCAAAATATTAGCTTTTTTTTCGACTGTAAATAATGTCCCCAAAGGAAAACTTTGTCAACATCTGTTTTATCTAATAAGATAAAGTTTTCAGTCTATTCATCTCACTTCAGCCACTTTATTTGTAGCAGCAAAATGTATCTAGTAGACTGAAAAAGCAATTGGTTATATCATTTTAGTAGGCTACCTAGAATTTAATTTGTGTTTGAAATAATTTATATAATAAAAAATTGAAAACTGGCACTGCGTGACGATATGATACTTCCACACAAAAATATTGCAATACTATGATGTATTGTTTTTTTTCCCCCACCCCTACTATATCCCCTATACACTGTCTTGGAGCAGAGGAAAAGTCCTTGGAACAGCGTGAGAGACCAAAAAAAAAAAAAAACAGGGAGTGAGATGAAATCTCAGGAATGTTAGCCTGGAAATCCAGACTCAAATTTAGAAAGATTTTGAGTCTGGCCCTTACCGATACACCTCCTATCCAAGGGGCAGCACTAACTGAGGTATTTCAAATGCTGTCGCACGCAATTGGATAGCACGATGGCCAGTCAGAGCAAAAAACAAGGTGACATATTCATTGCACTAAGCCCCATTTGTTTGCCAAACAGTGGGGCTAACTGATATATTATGCCTTGCCGTATCCCGTCGGCAAAACAGCAAAAACGCAAGGAAATTCTGCAGCAAAAAAACTGCATCTCCTGTTTTGAACACACTGCATCACATCAAGTTCACATGTGCAGTCTACTTAAATACTACAAATAAAGAATCAAATATGCAGGGTTTTTTTTTTTTTTTTTTCCGGAAGTCCGTCAGCTGCTCCAAAACTTTCCTTTAATACTCTTAGATTTGAAGTCGGCTGTTTTGATGAGACCTGACGTTGACCATCATGACAATATGACATATTCAGTCTAATAAGTTGGACGACTGTTGTCCCACCATGGACATACCCACCATCATTCACACACCCTGACATTACAGCAACATTTCTCACTCTATATTTATGCTTTTTCTTTTCACCAGTCACTGGTGACTAACCTGTTGTGCTCCTTTACATGTGACTTCAGACCAGTTACAAAGTTAAAAGTTTTTTGTTTCTGTATATTCTCACGCAATGAATAAGTGAACAATCAAATGAAGACATTAAGGAATGGAAAAAAGAGGTTTATATCACATTATCATCATCATTGCATCAAGGAAATATTTAAGAAAAAACCCTGAGGTTGTAAGCCAGAATGTACCAGTTTGATGTGAATAACCCTCAGCTAAAACCCAAAATAAACACATGGTTCACAAACAACACAATTATTCAAGGTTAAAGAAAATACAGATTGAAATAGACTGACTGAAAGCTCCTTCATCACCACTCTGATACATTTTGGATCATATGAGTGCGGAGTCAAGGCTGTGACTGTGACTAATGTGTGACTGATACAGTTCTAAGTAAGATAAAGATGCAATACATTCTTTTGCCTGCTCCCTGCGGCATAGATGAGGTAGCTTCCACTCAAGTGTCTGGGTGGGAAGATGACATGTTACACTATTCTGATGTTTGAAAACTGATGGACCAAATCCACACCAAATGCAGCACAGTATTTGTCTATTGTCATCAATCATCATCATCGGTCCCAAACCTCTGATCAATTCCACCCATGACTTATCCCTCTCCTTGAATGGCTCCACTGTGCTCATCTCCCCCCATGTCCATAACCTTGGTGTCATCTTCGATCAAACCCTCTCCTTTGACCAACATGTCAAACACATCACTAAAACAGCCCTCTTCCATCTCAGAAACTTTGCCCGCCTCCATCCATCCCTCTCCTTGTCAGCTGCAGAGACTCTCATTTATGCATTCATCACTTCTAGACTGGACTACTGCATTACTCTCCTCCATGGTCCATCATCAGAAACACTTAACAATACATGCAGAATTCTGCCGCTTGTCTTCTTACACACTCCCACACCTGTGACCACATCACCCCCCTCCTTCATAACCTCCACTGGCTCCCTATCCCCCAGTGTACCCACTTCAAATTCCTTATCATCACTTTTAAAGCCCTTTACAGCCTGGCTCCCCGCCTACCTGTCTGAGTCTGAACACACTTCTTCAAAATATGAAGTCTTTTGAACAAATAAGAAAAGACTTTAATCTTCTGCAGACAGATTTCTACAGATATTTATAAGTTAGACATTTCCTCCATGAAAAAGATGACCTTAAGATCCAAGATCTTAAGCAGTTGAAACGTTGTTGATTAATCTACAAATTAATAAATCAATGGGCAAAATTATCTCCTGCATGTATGGTGCAATTTTTACAATGGATAAGACTGACTTCCACTTTAAATCCAAATGCGAAGTGAGCTACAATTACTGGAACCAATTCCCACAGATAGCTGGAATAAGATCTGTTCAGGGGCCCACATGGTCACCAGGTCATGCACATAGGGAAGTTCAGATGGAAATTCATTGTATGAATCATTGATGATGTTTTTCGTACTGACTTGCCCATGGACCCCATAGTAGCACTACTCATAGTAATACCAGACAGTACTGAAGAACGGGCGCATACCTACCTTCTTCGGATTCTATTTACAGCAGCTATCCAATGCATCACTATTCGCTGGCTGGATCCAGCCTACTCATGCACTCTGGTTACAAAAACTACGGGTACTGTACTGCATGGAAAAGATCACTCATTACTTTAACTTGTAGAATGTCTCATTCCATATGCCTTATCCTATATAATTATCAACCGTATACCCTGTTTTATCTGTAATTTTACTTTGCCTTTTGATTTACTATTATCATTATTGTTATTGTTATTATTATTGTTACTAGTATTATTAGTAGTAATATTAGTAGTAGTAGTATTTGTCTGTATTATTATCATTATTATTATTATTATTATTATGGTATTTGATATGTTTGACAAAAACCTGTTGGAACCTCTTTTGGTAAAATTGATGCTCATCATCCATTTTCCCTTGCATTAACTACGCTATCATAACATTTAACTTATTTTACTTATACTTATTTTTCTGCTATTGTTTTGAAATGATAAAAGCTTACACTATATACTTCCTGACCACATGTTATTCAGTTGAAATCAATTCAGAATGTATACAATGCATGAGAGTTATATGACTAAATTCCAAACTGATTGTCCAGTTAAAGACCTCCTCCAATGAAAACCAAGATTTTAACCTTGTTAACGCATCCATATAGTGATTTTTACAGCACATATCCATGGAACACACTAAGGCATATCATGAGCAAAAGAAGAAGTCAGCATAGTTGAGCATTTTCACCTTGGAACTGCAGTGTGCCAATAACAGTCTCAAGAACAGGGCTTTGGAGCACAAACCTAATGAACCAATCCCATCAACTTGTGGGCTGGGGCTCTCCATATTATTAGCAATAACACTATAGTGAAACGAGGGATATCAAAGAAGAAAACAGGCTACCTATCAGTACTTAGCAAGCAAAGTTTCACCTTTACTTTCACTTGTCAGAGCTTACAATCTGGAAACAGGTTTATCTCACATTAGCAACATATTAGTTTGATAATGTAGTCTAGCCAAAGGCCCATGTTATCTCTTACTGTTTACAAGCAGACATTTGTGTGTTTGATGAGCAGAGTGAAGGTGAACAGGAACGCTTGAGCTGCAGGCGAATAGCTGAGGTTTGGGTTTGGTTGCATATTCATAGGTATGTGAATACCAAATGAGGCAAAGGTATACAGTTGCATCTAAGCTTTTTTATGACTTTTTGCTTTAAGTTAGTTGCGTTAGTTGTTTTTTGTTTTGGTTTTTGTTTTTATTTTAAATAATCACATCAAGTTGTTCAGAAACATTATTAGCCCAATAGCATATCTATCAGCATTCACTGTATCTGGATTAAAATTCTCTAAAAAGTCTTCTTTTTAAAGGTAGTGTCATGGGCACTGACATTTCCAGTCACCTCTTTGTCAGCTCTGCTAAATTTGTGCTACGTTTGTGCTAAATTTAGGCTCTTATGTCTACTTTTGCAAATCTTGGTGGTGATTTTTGTGATTAGCTTTGGATGGTGGTGGTGTGTGGCTGCGAGTCACTCATTGGGTTGAGGAAATCAACTCACCAGTCTGTAAACTGGTTTTCAAATGTAAACATCAGTGAACACCGAGGAAAAGATGGAGAAGAATGAGCACCAGCAGAACTAGTGTCTGGCCATTGTACACACTTTGGAAAATAAACTGGATGACTGCTGTGCTGCATCAGTTTCCAGTGGGATATCAGGAACTTTAATATCACGGATCCTCGGATTCACCAAAACTTGGCTAAATCCTGGACAGCACCATTCAACCAGGTGACTCCTTCTCTATGTGCCGATCTGACAGAGCAGGGGACTCTGGTGAGAGAAGGAGAGTAGTAGTCTGCTTTCTGGTGAATAAGGGCTGGTGTGATGGTTAGAATGTGAGGTGCTGTCCTGTTCCTGCTGTGGATCACAGCTATACACCATTCAGAAGCAGCTGCAGAGCAGTGCTGCCTGTGTTGGAGAAGACCAACCATATGGCCGTCTTGTTAGGGTCCCGATGTGTGGACAGGTAAATCAATCTACCACCATAAACCATGGATTACCAGAACCACCCGGAAGCATGGATAATTATGAAGCAGCAGCCAATATTGTAAGAAGATGCAAAAAAAAAAGACTAAATTACAGAGCACAAGTTAAAGTTGCTGGTGGGACCATATTTCACTGGAGTTGTACCGTGTATAATTCCATGTGACGAATAAATGATTGATTGATTGATTTTAAGTAAACTGGGGAAGGTTATGTCTTTTTATACATGTGTACATACCATGTTTTTCTTTTTGATCAACATTAAAACAATGCAAATCTTGACAAAGATAAATGCCAACCAACCAATTTCTACACTATTTCTTTTTAAAACATTTTAGCCATTGATTTCAATCATAATTTTTGTACATAATGATGATAATATAAGAATGGTGATAATCATGAAAGAATTATAACTACAGACCTCAAAGCCAGTGATGGCTATTTGGTGCATGGAGTCATTGACAGACTTGATGATGTCCAGCATTGTGGTTAAAGCCTCCTCCAACTCAGCCGTCCACTCCCCCTTACTGCATTTCAGCATCTCCTGGAAGACAGGAAGGACAAAGTGGGCTGGAAGGATAGAATAAGGCAGGATAAAAGCTAAAAAAAACATAGAGGAAACAAAAATACCACAGAGAAGAAAAGAAGAGACAACTAGACTGATGTTAACATTGGGGACAGTGAGGTCATGTCCCCAATATTATTTTCTAGGAATTATTATATATATTAATAAACCCTCACCTATGTCGTATAACTGTCTGTAGGGGACAAGCATTCATAGGAAGCTTTTATGGTGAAAGACGGGTTAAAGCTGAAGGTGTGACACATTACAATATGCTACCTTGGCCAGGTCTCTCGTGTAAAAGAGATTTTCAATCTCAATGGGACTTCCTGGTTAAATTAAAAATATATATATATATAAGTAAATCTGAAAAGTTTTAATGAAACGTAGTCGGAGGACACCAAGACCCAGGCACAATCTGGCCAGTCAAGGTGAGAGCACCTGAACTGTGAAGCTGGGTGTGTCAGCCTTATTCCTGCACTGTGATCATTCTTGTGCACATGCTTCCTTGGGTCATAACAATCCAGGAGTAGTGGCAGGGCAAAGTGCAGCTGGTGTTGGCCTTTGGTCACAGGAGCGGCTGCTGCAGGGGGGGTTCACCTGTTGAGCTGTGGTGACATACTGTAATTTAAGGTTTGCTGTGGCACTGGTAGTAGTTCAGGTGTTTTTTGGTTTGGGAAAAGGGGTTTATCTTGTGTTTGTGGTTTTGGGTTACCTGCCGATATTATACTTCCAATGCAGTGGTATGCTACACCCCTGCAGCAAGATGCTTTAAAGTCACATTTGGCATTGTTGGCAGGATTATGAAGCAATCACTGTGTGATAATTCAATAAGTTTTAATCTGGCCATATCAGCATTTTTCAGAACAGGGTAATAAATAGGAACCAGCACTTTGCCTTGTCACTGCCACCACTCCTGGATGTATACCCAAGGAAGAATGTGCACAAGCGTGATCACAGAGCAGGAGTGAGGCTGAGACACCTGCTCACACACAGTTCAGGTGTTGTCACCTTGAGTGGCCAGATTGTGCCTAGGTCCTAGTGTCGCCCTATCACAATTTTATGTCAGAGTTTAGTTCGGTGTCAGAGAAAGAAGTGTAGTGTCAGGTGGATATCCAACCGACAACTGTTCTAGGGGCGCCAAGTTCTAACACCAAAATTAAGTTTATTTCACAGCATTACAGCTTCAGCTGTGTCCTCAGATCTGTCATGTAAACAGCTCATTATTGACACCTTTGGTTCCTTATGACTCAAAGTTTTGTAAATTCCTACGTCCTTTTTCTTTTTTTCTGTTCATGAAGATGGAATGGTGTCAAAGGTCAGCACCAATAACTTTAAACTGTGGGAAAATCCAGCAGGAGCAGGTCAAGCTGACCAGGAAATAAAGTCAAGAAGAAGACATTCAGATCCTTGGCTTAGCCGCATAAAGGAATCTCTAAGGGAGCTTGTGGTCATCACCTGGAGATTACTATACAGTCAAACTTCTGTCAAACAACATTTCAAAATTTGCATTAAATAAACTGTGGTAACATCAAAATGCAAATCCATAAAACTGCTTTTTTTCCTTCTATTTCAACACAATCTCCTTATTAATATATTTTTTAAAACTTGTATATTCACAGATTGTTTATTCAGAAATAGTGTGAGTGGTGTGAGGGAATTGACGTTCTTAGAGTTTCAGTACATCATAACTTGAAGCTGAAACCTTAGTTACAGTTTGTTTTTTTAACCTCTGCATTTCAACATGAGGGGTGTGGCAGTAGATGTGTGTGAGTCTGGGTCCCTTGGTTAAAGCCTAATGCTTCATTGTGGCTCCAGGCTCAAAAAGAGCTTTTAGGAACTCCTGTGGGGGATTATATAGAGCAGGCTGAACTAATTAGCCAGATAATTGCACAAAATAATGCCCTGTTATTAATGTACTGAAATATTAGTCAAACATAATTTGGATAATTTTTAATGAGATCTTGTAGCCAAATCAAACAAGCTACATAACCACAACAAGCAAGCAGACTTCAGAGTTCAGAGTCATACAGTTGGCAGTTTTGTGTGTGTGTGTGTGTGTGTGTGTGTGTTTACCTTGAGCATGAGTTGGTATTTGGTGATCCTCTGGACAGGCTTCAGCAGGTAGGCATCCAGAGACAGTTTGTGGTCCAGTTTCTTCTGGCATTCCTGTTGTCACAAACACAAAATAGTGTCCATCAGGACGGACACTTGACAGACGTACCTAACCTAAAGCTGCAGTGGGCAAAATTTCCATGTCAAAACACACCTGTCATATTAGGTTACAGCTGTAGTTGGTAACATTCATAAAAATAAAATTTTGTCACATTTGCTTAAACTGTCACCATATCGACACAGCAATACATGGGGCAGATAGTCTGTATAAAACATTATGTTCCTTTGCCTCCTTGTGCTTCTTATAGCATTTGTAAGAATCGACCACACACATAAACAAAAACAACCAATAAGAACTCTCTAACGCAGATGTCAATCATGTCAATCACAGCTTTTGAACTTTGGTCTAACTGTCAAACTAGGCAGCACTGATATAATCACCCATTCTTCAGAACTAGAACAAATATTCCTATCCTACTGGGAAAAAAAAACCCTAAAAGCATAACTTATTAACACAGTACTTCTGTTATGAAGTTATGATGTTGTTATGAAATATTTTTTTAAATGATTTATTTAAATGAAAAAAAAAGTCATTTCTAAAATATTTTGATCTGCTTTCATTTTTTACCTTCTAAACTTGCCCTGTGCCAGAAAATAGCCTTGTCCCAGACAAAAATGTACAACTTCAAACAATTAAAAAATGTGTTAAAAGCCTTCAAAATCGAAAACCAACATAGTGATAACATTGGTGCAAAAATGTTCTGCTATAATAATCTTTGTTTTAAAATGTTGGCCCTTTCAAGATGTGTCCCAGGTTTTAGTCAAACTCTTTATGAAAACATAATGTAATCGGGCATAAAAGTGGTTAGCTACATCACAAGGAAGTCTCACTTCTTGATTTTCAATTGCTGTTCAAGTACTGGTAAGCTTTCTATTTTTTTGATACATTCATCAAATAATATTTTTCTAACAGGTCAACTCCGTCGCCCTTCTTAAATCGAACTAAATCAAAATTATGGTTTGAAAATTAATATTTTGATTAGCATTAGGAAAACCCTTAGCAACTTTGAAAACTAAAATAATTCTTCAATACAAATGCAGTGAAATTAATAGATAGGCCAATAGAACTTTCTGTCAACTCCATAAGACGTCAACTCCGTCAGATCTAACCTCTGACATCCATCACGACTGAAAAAATACACTGGGAGGATGGCTTATCACAAGGTTTAATAGTCAAGACTTTGATCTTTTAAAATTGATTTCCCAGCCTAATTGAAGAGTGAAAATTAAAAACTGAAAGAAAAAAAACACAAAAAAAAAACCCACAACAGTCTCAAGGATGGGTGTAATATAAATCACGACTCTGTTACTGCATTGCCTTTTTCTCACCACAAATGTTTTCAGAAACATATTTTAGTGTACTGCTGTAACATTAGAAAGTTTGTGACCTGGCTGCCATGTTGAACACAATTGAATCAAAACAAAACACCACCCACTGGCGGAGTGAGCTCTCATTTTACAGCTAAACAGTACACTTAAATATGGTTCTGAAAACATTTGAGATAAGAAACAGGCAGTGCAGTAACAGAGTTTTGATTCATATTTAATCAGCGCTGTCTAGTTTGACAGTCTGACTGCAGTTCACCACAGCAATAATTGACATGATTGACAGCCGCTTTAGAGACTCCTCTGTTCTGCCCGATTGTTTTCCTTCAGCCATGGAAGATTTGCAAATGCCATTAGAAGTACTATGAGAAGAAGAAGGAACATGTTTTTTTTTCACAGACTCTCTGTCTTATGTAATGTGTGGATGTAATGACAGCTTCAGCAAATGTGACAAAGTTATTTTTTATAAAAAGTATCTAAGCTTTAAGTCACAAATTGGAACATGCAACAATGTAGATTCTGCTGTTAGGAGATTTAGATTCTAGCGTCAGGTTGAACAGTATCATCCTGGTGTATGGACCAACAGATCAGTTTTTGAAGTCTGATATTATAAACAGCACCAAAAGTGTTACATGGCTGAACTTCCTTATGACCTCCATCCCAACCATTCTTTAAGAAGACCATATCTGAATCACTAAATTCAGACAGTTATGTTACAGTTAGTTGCTACTGTATATGGAACAAGGAAAGGCAGATGATGCAGCTATAAGTTATTGTTGCCTCCTCACAATTGTGTGTGTGTGTGTGTGTGTGTGTGTGTGTTACCTGAAAGAAGAGGCTGTCTCCACACTGTCTCCAAAGGACTTCAGAGCGGGGTTTATTCTGACAGTACTTCTCATACACCTGAAGCTCTTCTTTCTGACAACACAAAGACAGGTCAAAGTGAAGAAAGGCCTTAAATCATCTGTTGTCAGTTTCTGATCATTTTTAGCTGTTGCTGGAATATGAAGTCTGACAGTTTTGCACATCACTGACTGATTGACCTCATCTCCTCATTCTCTACCTTTGATTAAAGGAGGCCACTATCATGAGACAAATGGTATACACTAACACAACAAAGAACACATTTACAAAATTTCACAAAGTGCCTCTTTGCGGCGCCAACTGTAACCCTGCCTGGATTATGGCTTTTTTTTTTGTCAAAAAATATGATAAATAGACATATTTTTTTTTTACAATAAAACACATTTCAACATGCCATCTGATACTCCATCCCTGTGCAGGTATTATTAAACGGCGCAGTCTATCCGACATGGGTCAGATGTGTGATGTGTAGAACTCAAGTGTGCCGCCAATGTAAACATGTGCAAAAGACTGCAGCCTGATTAGCCAAGTCAAAGTGCCAAACAAAAAATCAGGAGCTCCTAAAGAAAAGGTCAGAGTAAGGAGCGAAGTGAGGAGCAAAGAGGCCATAGCTAAATGTCTAACAATAAAAAAGTGAAGAAGCACCAGATATGACAGGCGAAGCTGAAGGTGAGAAGTGAGACAGACTATTGTTACCAAACAAAACCTTACAGCTACAGAGAGGACACAGGTATCATATGAAACTCAAGGACCTAAGGCATCCATTGGTACTGACCATGACATGCTATCTTTTTGGAAAAAGGGGCCAAGTAATTCTCCAAACTTACGCTAAATTTTGGCGAGGGTACAGGATTCTTGGAATTACATAAATTGGGTTTGACTGGAAAAGTGAGAGCTGACAGCAAGAATAAAGTTGCTCTCAAGATTTAATGAATAAATGAAGAAAAAAAAGTTCACTCAGGATTTGATCTTGTGATTAAATATTTTGCACTAATTTCTTGAATCAATTTTTGATTCAGTGGTTCCCAACCTTTTTCCTTAAGGGACCCCTTTTGTGTCATTAAGTAAACTGATGGACCCTGACTAAGTGACATTTTACAGATATTTCATATTGCATTCAATGCATAACAATCCCAGTGCAGAACAACTGATAAACTGCAATATTCAAATAGTTAACACAATTTGTGTTTAATAATTTAGATGAATTTTTTTTCAGATTATTTCCTGTAAATGCTGCATCAGAGATGAATTTCCCTGATTTTTTTTGGAACTTTTTATACAATATGCTGCCTGTATTATATTTATTTTAGATTCTTATATCATATATACTTAATAGGCTTATTCTCCCTGACACCTGGCCATTGTTCTATTAACTCTTTGGTTGTTTTAACTGTGTACTTTTCTGATGCAGGATGAAACTGTTAAGCAGAGAGAGCATTCCACCCCGTTTCTTCAAGGATGTTTTTATCACGCTGGGGCCTCGTATTGTCGACCTTATAAATTCTTCCTTGATGTCTGGCTGTGTCCCCGCTGCTTTCAAACATGCTGTGGTGCAGCCCCTCATCAAGAAGAATAATCTTAACCCTTCAGTTTTGTCGAACTACAGACCTATTTCTAAGCTCCCTTTTTTGTCCAAAGTCTTAGAAAAGGTAGTGTATGAACAACTGCAGTCGCATCTGGACTTAAATGGCATTTCTGAAAAGTTCCAGTCGGGCTTTAAAGCACGCCATAGCACAGAAACAGCCCTTTTAAGAGTCTTTAATGATCTGCTTTTAATTGTTGATTCTGGTAACTGCTGTTCTGGTGCTCTTAGACTTGACTGCAGCTTTCGACACAGTAGATCATAAGATTCTTTTATCCCGTCTTGACCTGTGTGTAGGTTTTAAAGGTACAGCGCTCAAATGGTTTGAATCCTATTTATCAGAAAGGAGTTTCTCTGTTCACATGGGCCAGTATAGATCTGCTGCATCCTCAGTCAATTGTGGGGTGCCTCAAGGTTCCATCTTGGGCCCCATTCTCTTCTCCATTTATATGCTGCCCCTGGGCGCTATATTTAGAAAGTACAACATAACATTTCATTGCTTTGCAGATGACTTACAGATCTACCTTCCTCTTCAAACAAACAGCTCTGCCTCCAATCAAGCTCTGCTGAACTGTCTCAATGATGTTCACACATGGATGGCTTCAAATTTCTTGAACCTAAACAAATCCAAAACTGAAATTATTTTATTTGGCCAATCTGACCTTTTAGATGGACAGTGCCATTGGCCCATTAGCTTCCTACTGTCACCCTGCTGCAAGAAACCTAGGAGTAAATTTTTGACTGTGCTTTTGAATTTAAAAAACAGATTAGTTCAGTAGTCAAATCAAGCTTCTTTCAATTAAGGCTACTTAGTAAGGCAAAGCCCTACCTCCCTCCACTTGATTTTGAGAGGGCAATTCACGCTTTCATTACCTGTTGTCTGGATTATTGTAATTCTCTTTATGCTGGATTGGACCAGCAGTCACTGAAATGCCTGCAGGCTGTCCAGAATGCAGCAGCCAGACTGCTGACAGGAAAGAAAAGACATGATCATATCACCCCCATACTGGCCTCTTTGCACTGGCTCCCTGTCCAGTTTAGAGTTAAGTTTAAAATCTTATTATTTGTTTTTAAAAGCCTGAATGGCTTAGCTCCATCCTATCTATCTGAGCTTGTTCAGCTTCACACGACAGCCAGAGCACTGAGATCAAGCAACCAGCTGCTGCTGGCCTGTCCCAGAACTAAACTTAAAAGCAAAGGTGACAGAGCCTTTTCCGTTGTGACGCCAGATTTATGGAATACTTTACCATTCCATATAAGGGCAGCCTGAACTTTGGAACACTTTAAATCTCTTTTAAAAACCTTCCTCTTTTCGCTTGCTTTCACCTCTAGTTGAGACAGACATGTCTTTTACAGCTTTTATTTGTATTTTACCTGTACTCTAGTGTTGATGTTTTATTGTCTAAACCTATTGTTGATCTTATTGGTAATTTTTGTGGTTTTTGCTATTCATTCATTCTTTGGATGAACTGTACAGCAC